CCCCCCCCCCCCATCAGTTTCCTTTTCACACAGATTGCATTAGGTTGTATGTGTATGCATAAGGGAGAGAGAAAAGGGGAATCCTAGACAATATCCACAATCTGTACATGGTGCCTGACCAGATCACTACTATTGCATGGAAGATGAAATAAGGGTAAGCAGCCTGATATTTAAAGAGTTTTCTTTTCCCATGTGTGAAGCAACATCTGCTTACTCACTCATCATGTATTGGAGTATGGGGTTGAATATCTCTGTTCTTCAATCTCTACACGGATGTGATCTTAAGTTTCCAAATATGTTTCCAGAGGGAATGAAAAGTCCAATTTACATTTTAAAGTGAAATTGCCCTTTAAATAATGATGGCATGCTGTTGTATTTATTGTTAGGGATCCCATTGGGTGCGCTTGCTCCGACTTTTGTGCATGTTGAATGTCTGAAATGGAGTTTCACTAGTGATCATTAAATGACATTTCCCATTTCAATGCTCTGCCTTTGCAATTTCAGATATTCCCTAGGTGTATGAATATACAAGGAAGAGCATAAATCAGAAGAACTTTGTAACCCCAGAGAGAGAAATAATGGCTGACCAAGTTCCCCTAATTAAAAGTATAAACAGAATAATTGTAGTTTTGCCCTGATCTGTTGGTATTGCTATAATTCTGTAATTCAGCTGGCACCGTGTAGTTTTCTTGCAAGTTAGCTAGCACCAGATATTGTTCTCTGTAGTTCATTTGATATATACTAACCAAATGAATTTTGATGATATAAAAAACAGTAAGAATTATGAAGAAAATCTACATAATTCTCATCCATATCTTTGGGTTTGGGAGCCATATCAAAAATTGTCTTCATAAAATCCCTTTAGGGTGATCACATTTCACTTCATAGTTATCCTATAATTTCTCCTTTTCCACCTAATCAATTTTCTACACATTTTGTATGCTTCTTTTTATCACAACAAGTGTAAGTAAACATTATCTTGAAACTGTTCTCCAGAACAGAGGATTTGTTGGCGCATTTTCTTCTTCAAAATGATATTTCAGCGCTACTCTCCCTTAACCCTTGATTTAAAAAATAACAGTTGAAACAGCCTTCTTAGAAATATTTTAAAAGTCAAGGTGAATTTGGTAACTGCCATTGACCTTTCCATGCCAACGTCTTTTGTTTTTTTTTTCCTTTTTTCCTTCTAAAATGTATCAATAAATTGGAAACTTTCTTTCCAATATCCAGAATGGGAAGAATTGTTCTGTATTTATTTATATAAATCAACCTGTATATGTAAGTCTAATAGATAAAGGAATAAGTAAAACCAGCTCCCAGTTTCTTTACCAAAGAAGCTCAAAATCCTTCTCCAAAATAATTTTAATTACATATTCATGACATAATATAGTCTTCCATTAATCTTATTTCTGCTGCGTTAGTTTTTCCTGTCTAACAGCTGTTATAATTGTTTTAATAGACTGTTTTAATTTGCTGCTGTTCTTAGCTTACATTTTTATATAGTGGTTTAAAATGTTTTTATGTTTTGAATATAAGCCACTTTGGGAAAGCTTTATTTTTTAAAGATGGCATACACACTTTCAAGGGCATACTAGTTGTAACCTGAGACTTAAGAAGAGCCATACCAGGTTCTCATTTCCCCCATTGCCATCCAAATAAGATGGCTCAAACCATTAGCCCATTCTCTGTCATTCAGGGATGAACAGATGCATCCATTAAGCTCAGAAACAGTACAGAAGGACAAGCTCCGTCTTCTGACTTTTCCTGACCTTGGAAATGGTTTCTTACTTTAAACCCTTTGCCAAAATGAATAAAAACCTTGGGTTTTCTAGCTTGCAGTAGCATGAGGGACTCTCCTGTTTCTTGGGAATCATCAAATGCTTATTTAACATTGGCCAGGACACAGTGCTCTGTGGTAAGGTGATCATTCCTTAAAAAAAAAAACCTGCAATGAAGTTCTTTATGCTTTTGTGAGAAAGTACTCAAGCAAGGGGACCTTTTTCAGAGTGAAAGATCAGAAAGGTACTTTTTTTTCAGGCAGTAAAAAGAAAAGAAATCCAAACACAGGAACTGGATTCAGCCCACCATTCCTGCTATCAGGATTAGTTTTGTCCCCCATGATTGTATATAGCCTTCCTTCAAAACCATCTAAATGGACCAAGACAGACATAGTAACCATTTTATCCTGCAGTCATCCAGCAACTGGTGTTCAGGGTCATATTACCTTCCAGCTTGAAGATAGCCTGTTGTTCTCCTACCTTGATAGCCTTACTCTGTTTTAATGTCTTTATTTACATTGTAATCCCATTAGGTAACGATTTCATTATTCACATAATGAGTAACTAAATCATTAATGTCTTCTTATAAGGTTGACTGGGCTATTTCTGTGCCTCAAGATAATATTCCCACAGAAGGAATATTAAGTTTCTACTCTCTAAAAGACATAGATCATCACAATTCCACAAGTATCTAAATATTATTTATTTATTTGTTGATTACTTGTTTGTTTACATGGATTTAAAAACACTAAACTCCAGGCAACTCTGCAGTGAGATGTTGCACTCCTCTTTAAAATTCCTTATTTGTGAAGAAATCATGCAAGAGTTTTTAATGGGTGCAGTGATTTCTGTTACAACCTGTGTGTGATATTGAGAGCATAGGATCAGCTGTGTTCACAAACTGAAGGTGTATAAGGTGGTACGTATGCAGTATTTTCTTGTTTGTCCTGTATGCCTGATTGTCATGTGAATAGGAAGGCTTGAATGATGGCAAGGGCCTCCTTTGAAATGGAAAGAGCAAGCAAAAAGGAGAAACAAAAGCCTGAATCTAGTTAAACAGTACAAAAATCCAGCTGAATCATGCAAAAGAGAGTCAGCCCTGCTTAGCCACATTCAGATACTTGTTCCTTCTCTTAGAGTAGTGCCTCAACTATTACATGTAGGAAAAGTTGTCTCTTTCTCAAGGGGATGCTTACAGCTAACGTGGTGAATTACTTTTATACAGGAGCAATGATGGAAGCTTAAAGTCAAGTCCTCTGCCTTAGTATCAGCCACAGCTTGTTGCATTCATCAGACATAGATGTACATTGGGACCATTCGGTTTTCTTTGGGTCTCAAGTGGGGTTTCCACTCAAAGTGCTATAACATCCACCATTTTTAGCTGAAATCAATGTGTGCTCCCTTTCTCTTCCCAACGAGATCTCTCAGTATCAGAGGCTAAATTGGAAAACGTAAACTCTGTAGACACATGTCAAGTAAGTTGCAGAGCCACATATTGATCTACTGTGTCTCATTCTGCAACCACATGTCTGTATTTCTCTCTTAGCCACTTCTTGAATATTGATTTTTTTCTTAATACCATGATCTTTTTATTTTCAGTCTATATCATGTGAAGTAGGAGGAATATTACTTTGTCTCTACACTAACTTAATCTTCTCTTGTGTCTTTTTTTCCTCCTCCATAAAGTTCACATTAATCTGTTAGCCTTATCATACACATTACCAGTGCTAAAACTATAATTTTAAACACACTGTCAGTTGTAATTCCAAGGGCCAGACTTGGTATGAGAGGCAATTCAGTGAGCTGAAATATAGAAATCCCTGTCATGTAATGGTCTAACAGGCCCTGGGAACTTGGAGAAAAGAGTAAGACTGTTACAGGAGGGAGCACAACTGTTACAGGAAAGATTCCACAGTTCAAAGAAGAGGGGAAATGTGAGAAAGAAACTCAGAGTAACTCCACTTAATTATGCTAAGTACACGTTGATCTGGATAACTGCTTTGGCAGGCTTTCAACATTCATCATCCTACTAGCAACAAATGTCATTCCAGAAATCCAAATGGTTCTTCTTCCTGAGTTTGCCAGCCTCAAAAGCCTTGCACGGGAATACTGTAATCATTAAACCATCTACAGCTTCCTTTAAAAACAAAGGGAGGTGCAGACAAGGAGACCCAGAACTCTTCTACAGTTATCCAAGTGATCTTACATGAGTCCATTAGCAAAAACGTATCCAAAAAGGAAAGTGCCGGTCCTGTTGGAAAGACGAACTTGTTTTATATAACTCTGTAGTCACAGTTGATGGAAGAATTGTTCCCACACTGCTGGGAATATGGTATATTAGCTGATTTTCTCTTGAACAAATTAGAATTCTCATGAACAAATTAGAAATTTGACTGACCACTCAACAGTGTGGCATTAATTGATTGCTGACTATGGCTGGCCAAGTTAAGTTATAGTACACTGGAGATTATTAAGCATACTTTTTCCATTTTATGAATCTCTTAAATGCTAATTAGGAAAGAAAGTAAGTTCTCAGTGGTGTACAATTTATCTTTCAGTGAAAAATCACAGTAGTTATAAGGATTTATTTTAAAAAGAAGGGGCAATGTGATTTTAAAAGTAGAGTCTTCATCCCTACAGCTAGATCAGTACTTGTGCATTAGTTAGTTCTTGGGAGATGACGTAGGAAAAAAGCTCCAGTTTTATGTTCTAAGGCCAAGTTGTTTTTCCTTCTCTCAATCCTTCTTTCCCCAGGCTTGGTTCCAACTAGTAGCACCGATTTCCTCCTCTACAGCATCAAGGCAACAATTTGAAAGTTCATTCCCTAGCAACCTCAATTACAACTGATGTTTACTTTGCAAAAACACAAGCTACTTTAGATTCAAAAATTGCTCACTTTGCCTTAAGGGCTTTGTTATTTGGTTATGCACATGTCTGGAAAATAGGGTTAACCTTACCTCCTTCTAAAAAAGGGTTAAATTGAATTGTCCCTCTTTTTGCTCAATCCTTGACAGTCCAATTCAGTTACTATGTAGACTCATGTATAAGCCCATTCGTGGATAAGCCGACCCTCAAATTTTTTTTATGTTTTAATATTCACAGTTGGCCTATCCATGGGTAATCCACAGATTATCCATTTTTTATGGTATTTTGGTTAAAAATACTGTATACACTTACAGATAAACCCATCCAAAGGTAAGCCAAACCCAAGTTTTTGGGTGTATTTTGGCACCTAAAATTCTCAGCTTATTTGCGAGTATATACAGTACTCAGATGTGCTTGGTTGATTGGAAATGTCAGGGTTTGGTGAGGAAACTTCATTATTTATTTATTTTCAAGGTATATTTCTGCTCAGAGAGTGCATCCCTTTTTACATTTCTCAGATTATAGCACTTTGGAACCTTGTCACTAATGGGATAACAAGAGACAAGTGATACACAAATGACTTGAAAATGTTAGGAAAAGGATAGTTGATGTCTCCTTTGTTGTTTAATGCATTTATACATAAAAGTATAAGAAATACTTGTGGTCATGTTAAAGGTGTGGTGGTTGACAACATAAATATATGCATATTTTTGTATGTATACGATGCCATGTTCCTAGCTGAAAATGTGAATCATGTAATAAGCAATATTTATAATTAATAAATGATAAAAGCTAGAGCAAGTAGATGAATTTGGATTCTTCAGTAGAATAGTTATCAAAGATGAGAAAATAAATAGAAAATACTAGTAGAAAGGTAGTGAGTAATATGTGGCCTATCGCAAGGAATTTGTCAAAAGAAGTGAAAATAGTTGTGTATAAGAGTGTGTTTCTGCCCACTTTGTTATGTGGAAGTGAGAGCTGGGAATGTCAGAAAGTTGAATGCAGTGAGAATGGAATATTTATGATATGTGTGTAATAAAACAAGAAGAAATAAGGTCAAGAATTAATAAATGAATGCTGAATGATTATGTATTTAATACAAATGTGAGTGACCAATAAAAAGTATGTTGAAATTTTCTGATCATGCAGAGAGAATAAATGAGGATTGAATCACAGAATAAATATATGAAGAAAGAATGAATTGGCTGAGAGGAAGGGATCAAGGAAGACATAGTTGGAAAGAGTTGATGAGGTCCTGAGAAGGGGAGAAGTGAAGAGTTTAAAGGACAAAAGTCTATTTTATGAGGTGGTATATGGATAAGGTTTAAACAATTATGGTTTCAAGAAAGAAAAATTGGGAGAATTATAATGAATAGTGCTGGCGTAAATTAAATTTTAAATTTTAATAAATTTCCTTTTATCTGCTGTATTTAATTTCTTTTGCATACTACTATGTATTTCTGCAATTTGTATAGCATTGCTTATCCCAAAAGAGAATAGTGCGATGGACAGGTATGTATGTACGTATTAGGGAATAAGATCAAGTGAATATAGCCAGGCTTATAAGTAAATGTGCATAGACTTTTGCTATTAATGAATCAAGTTAGATTAAGTTGGTAATTGTCTTGATTCATTTTTGAACTGTTACTGTCTTGGACTGCTGCATTTGTAACTTTTTGGTCACTTTAAAAAAAAACAGATTTATTTCCTTTATTTATAAGTAAATAAATATATAAATAAGTGGATTGTTTTTCTCTGTTGCAAAGCCATTAAGCATGCATGCATAGCATGCATAGATAGATAGATAGATAGATAGATAGATAGATAGATAGATAGATAGATAGATAGATAGATAGATAGATAGCTGAAGTCGCTTTGGTCTCATATACATTGTCAAATATAGTGAGATACTGTCATTTTAAGTAGGAGGAAAAGTTACTTTTCAAGATTTAAGAGCCAAGAAATATGCAAGTGTGATGCTTAAGCAATAATAATTGAGGCATTAAGGCTTTTCTTAGGGATTAATGACTTGTGGGGAGGAGCTAATGGCCCAAGCACAGCCAAGGGCAATTAAATTCAGATCATTAATCTCTAAGGAGTGCACTGCCTTCAGCTCATCTTTGTTATTGCAAAATAAATATTGGGAAAGAGGGCTGAGCGTGGACTACTTAGCATCATTTAAGGTGATGAGAATAATGCTGCTTCCCAGACTTTTGAACTAATTTGCTCAGGTCTTTTATGTTTTTCCATATTGCCAGTCATTTCTCCCCCACTTTGTCATGTTTAGATTTACAAATCGTTAATCACTGAGAACATTTTGCTTTGGGAACATTAAGATTTGGGAATCTTTTATGTTTGCATTAAAGTACAAGATATACCAGACTGCATTGTGCAAACAAGTACAATGCAAATGCAAAAAAGTAGTAAGGAGTTTGATGAGTAATGTGTACGTTCAAAATCCAGGATACAATTTAACTGTGCAAAATCCTGGGGTGATTTTCAAAGAGAAAGTGAAATGATTGCCCCCATCCTTTTTATGGAAAAGAAAGTTTGGAAGATGATGATGATGATGACAACGACGACTACGACGTTGGATTTATCTCCACCCATCTCCCCTAATGAGGGACTCTGGGTGGCTCATGTAGTATAGCATATATACAGCTTAACAATTAGAATTACAATTACAAGCCTATTCTAATTACAATTACAGTGCAGCTACTCTGTTGTGGGCAGCAGCAGTCGCAAGGGAGTCAGCTCATCCGGGCTTTCTTTCCACCGATGATCTTTTTCCACCCATCACGTTAGTCGCGTCCAGCATCCGGCACTTTTTCTGCTGATCAGGTCCAGCACCGGTTCCAGCTTCCCCACACAAAGTGCTGCTGGTTCCTCCCACCGAAATGAGAGTACCTATTTATCTACTCGCAGATGGTCTGCTTTCAAACTGCTAGATGGGCAGGAGCTAAGGATGAATGACAGGCGCTCACCCCGTCACATGGAGCTGGACTCGAACCACTGGAGTCCCGACCATTTCTGGCTGGCAAACTCCAGTGTCATTAAGCCCCTACGCCACCATGCCCCAATGTATAATGCCCCCAATAATTATATAAAATTAGGTTGTTTTATGCCAAAAGAAGGGCAAGGGGAGAATTGCATCCAGGATCATGGCAGTTAGAAAGGTAAAGAAGTACTTTAAATATGCTTTGTTCCTAAGTTCTCCAATATGGTGGTGGAAATTATTAATGCTGAGTGTGTTATATTTCACAGAGCAATACACTCTGTTTATGACCTTTCCCAAAAGTTGGATGAGATTGTCCAGAAGTGATCAAATAATGCTGTGCCTCCATATACTGTTTATAAACAAAGCTTCATGACAGTAGAGGTTTTCAGTTGTAATGCCCTGTTTCGCATACGGATCAGCTGTTCTAGCCTTTCCAAAATTGACCCATTGTTATTAAGCCATTCCAGAACGTTTCCAAGCTTAAACCACCCTTTGGAACTTTACAGACTTCCACAGACAGGAACATATGACAGTGTGCCACAGAACCTGGCTGTTATTGAGACAGGGAAGGTGACCCAACCAAAGGCCTGGTGACTTGACTAACATCAAGAGATTGAACTTTGGGGAGGAAAGCCTTGCCACTGCCATCATCCAGCACCCCTTCTTCCAACTGCTGTCAGCTCCATCACAAGAGGGAATGTAGCATCATCCTCCACGAAGAAGGTTGGAAAGCCTCCCACTTCATGAAAGATATTCAGTGCAGGAAGGATCTGGGAAGATCCTCAACCAAGAGCTCTAGCTTTCAAAAGGTTGTATTGGGTAATGCTAGGAGAGAAACCGTTTGACTTAGGCCCATGGAGTAAAAGTTCCATTCCAGTACACATTGCGTGTGTAGTGAGATGAACTGATTTCATGAATGTATAAGGGTTTTCTTCTTTTTTTCTTTTTTTTAATATTCCTCCCATGATACTGATTACCTAAATACATTCTTCTCTCTGCCTCCGTCTTCTTTTAAAACTCAGTGTAATCTATAAAACTGCATCTAATATACCAAGCTTATATTTTAAGGCTGACTTTCTCACTGCCTCAATATTTGAGGATGCACTTTTGGAGCATCCCTTTCCCAGCTCTTAAAATGCAAATATTTTTTGGAAACCTGGGATTTCTTTCTTTCTTTCTTTCTTTTTTTTTTTTTACACAACATTATTCATAATTCCTGCTTAGAAGCTTAAAAATGACATTAATTTCCCAACCAATTTTGTCCCTTTCTATTTGGCAAATGTTGATTTCCTTCCCATCCTTGGTGCTTCTAATGGGCCTTGAAATTGCTGTGTCCTTTTCACTTGCCTTCTCAATGTACCATCATTGTCTATATTACAGTAGCTTTCTTAATTATCTCTTATTTTGGCAAACAGTAATCTGGACTAGACCAGCAAATTTGAGCAGACGCAGCTGTTCTAAAAGGTCTCAACCCACTTTGATTTTCAGGATATGTCATCATCATCGGTCAGAGAAAAGATCTGCCATTTCCTTTTTTGTTTGTTTTGTCTTTGATCTGCTAAGCTTCTAAGCTCTATTAAAAAGGGGACAGTTTTAAAAAAACTGAGCACTTTGGACCAGATCCACAGCAGATACAGATTAACATAATTCAGTAAAAATTGCTACAGCTAAAATGATTTGCAGTGCACAACATTTGGCATTGTATCTCGTTAATTTGTGGATTATCCATTTGTAGCTTTCTTCTTAAGTAACTTTTGTTATGGGCCTCATATTTACTCTAGGTTAAAAATCCACAATGAGTGTGACATTCTGTAAATTGACTGCAAGCAAACTTGAACTGATATAAATTAGGCAAATACTACAATGTATGCAAATATCTCTTTAATAGAAGTAATTCATCTGCCGGGTTTATTTTGTTAAACCCGAAGTACATTCAGTATTAGCAGGAAAAGTAACTATTTATTCAGGATAGTTGCATGCATGCCCACTAAGCTGTAGGTGGTCTATATAGCCAAAAGTGTTCCATGGTAAAGCTGGGCTGAAATATTACAGCAAGAAAGCAGACATTTCCAGGCTGGGGTGGTACAGGTGGGGAGCTGTAATCAACCTTGAGTTGTGTGTTGGGGGTCACTGTCTAAACACTAGGTGGAAGCAGGACAAAAGCCAAATTTGATTTAATGTCTTTTAAATTAATTACATACAATTAATGTGATTGTTCCTTGTGTATTTAACAATTTCCCCATTCTGTAACATTAAAAATTAGAGCTGCATTTGAGAAAACTCTAGGGTGTCTTAAGCCTCCCATTAAAATTCCTGATTGCTCACTTGCAGGCTGAAATGGTAAAGTTTACTGTATATTCCTTTTAATTATGTAAACACAACTTCTTCAACTTGGTACCTTTCAAAAGAGTCCCAGAATTCCCACTAGCACAAATCATAAAAGTTGGAAAGGCCACTTTGGCTATCAAGTTCAGCAGCTTGGACTTTCCACTGAATGTTTGAGAATTGTGGAGTCCTTGGAGTTCTCTGAGCTTGGTTGTTTTCTTGCAGACATTTCATTACCCTACTAGGTAACATCTTCAGTTTACCCTACTAGGTAACATCATCCTACTAGCCTAGCACTGAAGATGTTTCCTAGTCAGGTAGTGAAATGTCTGCAAGAAAACAACCAAGCTCAGAGAACTCCAAGGACTCCACAGTTCAACCCTGAGCTACAGATATTCTCTTCTATTGTTTGAGAATTGTGAATTTGGCAACGCTTATCCTGATTACAAAATAGTATTAGGAGAGAGAAAACAAGTTCAGAACTCCTAGGATATTTAAAGACAGAAAGAGTCCGTGGGGGAAAGAACTGTGACACAGGCAGAAATCTCATCGCTAGAAACAACTGAGTCATTTTGGTCAAGCTACATTGATGCCACAACTCTACCTAAATTTTGTGCAAGAGTAGAATTTGGAACTGAGAACAGAAGTCTGTATCCTTGAATTGAGAAGTGCCTGAGTCCTAGTATCCCTCCCTGGCATCTTTAGATGGAAGTGAAGAACCACTGTTGTCAGCACAGATACTACTAGGCTACACATGATTTAATTCAGTATAAGGTAGTTTCCTCTTTTCAGTCCTGAGATTTAAAAGCACAAGTTTTAGTTCTCACTGCTATGAAAAGAAACCTTGTGATTAATATTTGATATGAGATCTCAGAAAATCAGAAGAGAAGAGCTTAAGGAAGGTCATTGTCCAGAAGATTGAATTTGGGGGCTATGCAAACCTTATCTTTCACTGGGATCCCACAAAGCAAAGTAAATTATATTTTGTAACGTGGATGTACTGTACTGTATATTATACTCAACTAAAACTCTGAGTTTAATGAACTGTGGATCCAGGTTTGAACTTCATTTCTGCAACCTGAAAAATAAAGTTAGTTTTCCAAGCTAAAATAAGGATCTGGTTATTACAGATTAGTAAAATCCACCACAGTACCTGCTCTGATTTTTATAGTGCCTAGTGATGAATATGAAATTTACTAACATATGGAAAAGAAAGTCAGTAGCCTTTATGAGAATTAGATTGTGATCCTAAGATCTCAGTAGAATCCCAATAATAGCTACAGGATTCATATTCCTTGAATACTTAATTTCAGATTGGATTTACTACATTTTCTAAACATTATTTAAATCAGAGTAAAGGTAGTTACTAAACTATCCATTAATTTTTGAATTTCAAAGCCAAGTAATGAGATCTAAACTATCCTGAATTTAAGAGCTTTGTTTGAATGGCAGGCAGTATATTGTGGAGTCACATAACTCATTCAATTCAAAGAGTATCACTGCTAATGGGTAATGAACCAGAGAAAAGCACGCAATTTCAGAACTGTAGAAAGAAGTAAAACATATGCTTTCATTTATGATGCGTGAATATAGACCTGCATTTGTATCCTTTTTCAGAATGTATGTGTTAATTGTTATTAGGTTCCGTGACTTAGAAATAAAAAGTAACGAATTGGACTTTTGGGAAGTAAAGTGGGCAATGTTTATTTAAACATAAGCAATAGTAGTGCAAATAATACTATAAATTAGTTGAAGGAGTTACACTGCTAAAAGCCAAGTAGGTATTGGGCATTAATATTCAAATTGTAATTCCCTTTGAACAGTCGATGAGGGGCTCCATCTGTCATCCCATCATTTCATGCAAACAAAAAATATCCTGTGGATCACAGGGAAGGAGGGACAGAACAATTGAAATATATTTTAAGTTCTGCACTGTAAACATGTATAGTTGTGGGACAAAAGAAGGTGGGATGAAAGAGTTGATTTGTGAAACTCTTTCTCCTGCCATAGCTGATTATGCAACTGCAGAGAACTACACAATAGAATTTAAATCAGAAGGGAAACTTCTGATAGTGAACTATGGTGTGCAGGGCTGTGGCAAGGGGATTGGAAAATTTACTTGCCAGGGATGATTTTAGATTCAGAGTGTTAAACTTACTGGAGAAGGAATTATAATTTTAGCATTATCTAATATTGAGGTCAGGAGAGCTGTTCAAAAATGGCACAGCCCACATCATTATCTAACATAGCAGAAGAATTACATCTGTTCCTTGCAGGTTTTGTCTGCAGTGTAAGATATCTCTGCATGCTCTTAGTCTGGCATGGATAAGATATTTTTTGCTCCAAAAAAGATTTGAGTTTTGAGCACAGATGGGATGACATGGTTATAACAGCCATTTCATGAATGTATTTCATGACCTGACTTGTAATAGAAATCCCTTAATAGTCTTGCCCACACAATATGTCCAAAAAAGATGTTAATACACAGATGTCCCCACCAGGATAGGCTACACTGCTTTGGTTTTTCTTATTGGTAATCTGAAACCTCTTCTCATTTGCGAAATGGTGCATTTTGTGGATAACCGCACAGAATTTCTGAAAGGATCCCTGTTCTCAAATTGAGAACAGCAGTGCTTAAAAGGTGGCAATTAAAGCAGGGGGAGAAGTCAACAAAACAGGCTTCAGTCAGAGATTAAATACTGTACAAACTGGGATGTGATTACTACAGGCTATGTATGTGTGTTAATGGATTGGAAATAAAAGATCCATTATTCCCCTGGATACCAGCATTTCTGTAATTTCTTTGAGGCTGCAAAAATGGAAAGGGATCAGCATCATGAATTTACTGATAACCTGATTAATCAACATAAAGGTTAGAGAAAAAATGCATTGGTGACTCTCCTTTAACTCAGGCCCACATTAGAATGCCAAGAAAGAAAGAGATCAAACAACTGAACCATTTCATTTATTTCCTTTAAAAAGAGGTGTGAAATGGGATGAGAAGGCGGCGGCATACCAGGCTTTGAAGGTGGGTACCAAATCAAAACTATTCTAATTAATTTTGTTCTATTCTAAAATAGTGGTCCAGATTAAAATCAAGATTTAGTGCCAGAAATTATTTGCTCAGTTATTTCTGCTTATTTGCATCTCATTATCAATAATTCTTTTACCAATCTGTTTAAGATCACGTGTAGATAGTAGCAATCCCTATGATCAGTTGACTGAACAGTTAAACCATTATTTTATTTTATTTTATTTTATTTTATTTTATTTTATTTTATTTTAATCATGTATGGAGCCACCCATGTCACAGCACTGGGCAGCATACAAAGATTAAAGCCACCATAACCTATTATCCATGATGCCTTGGTTAAAGCAACAACCCCCCAAACAAAAAGCCACATCACCAGCACAGCTCACCTAACCTCCTGGCCCAAATGCCTAGGGGAACAGCCCTTTAGAGCCTTACAGAAGGCTAACAGGGTCAGGCCCATATGGATCTCTTGGGGGGCAGGTGCAGCCACAGAAAAGACACAATGCTGGGGTCCAGGAGTTGGCATTGCTTGGTGGAATCCAGAGCATGCCCTCCCTCCCAGACCTGTTGGGCCAGGCAGAAGCAATAGGGGACAGGTGGTCCCACAAATAGCCTGGTCCTATGCCATGTAGGGCTTTTAGGTGGTAACCAGCACCCTGAATCAGATTTGGAAGTTGCTGGGAGCCAGTGCAGAGCAGCAGTCTTATATTAGCATATTCAGATACGTCAAAAACTGCCCACACTGCTGGCATTCTGGACCATCCGCAGCTTCAAACATTCTTCATGGGCAGCCCTGTATAGAACATGTTACAATAATACAAGTGGGAGTGACTAAGGCATGCATCACCATGAGTAAGGCCTCCTGGTTCAGGAATGGGTGCAACTGGCGCACAAGATGAATCTACGCAAAGATGAATCTCTTCAAGCAGGAGCCATGAGTCCAGAAGGACCCCCAAATTGTGCATCAGCTCTGACTGGAGAAGTGCACCCCCAGGCTGAGTTACAGATGGAAGATCGCCAGAGCCAAGGGGCCTTAAAACCCATAGCCACTCAGCCTTGCCAGGGTTGGGATGAAGCTGTTTTCTCCCATCCAGACCCCCACAGGCTCCAGGTACTGGGAAAGGATCTTGGTGGCAATCACCTGTTCAGCCTAGGCCAAAGATGTACACCTGGGCGATACCATACCCCATGGTGACAGATGACCACCCCCATCGCCCTTCATGTAGATGTTAAATAGTGGGGAAAGAGTAGATGTACCCCACAAAGCAGGGGCTTTCAGCTTGACCTTTCTCCCCCTACCAACACCGATTGTAACTGCCCTGGAGAAAGGAGAGCCACCGTGATATAGTGCTCCCTGCTCAGAATCCCCTGAGCTGGTCCAGAAGGATACCACGATCAATGGTATCAAAGGCCAATGAGAGATCAAGGGAGGCCAAGATGGAGCACTGAACTTACCATGTCATCTTCTACTGATCTTTATGTTGTCAGATGACTCACACCCAAATAAGGTCATGATAATCCTAAACCAGTGGTTTGTTTGGTGCATTCACTCCCTATCACAAGATTTTGTCTTTCAGCGTTTGTGAAAGACAGTTCTCATGATTAAGGTGGGGTGTACACAGACTCCTGCCACCTTCTTCCCTTATGGACTGTTTAGCTCAGCTAAACCATAAGCATTTTCTATCATTTTACAAGAGACAAAAAGATTGAAATATTAATTCATATCTAAACACCAGGCCAAGTTAGATGAGACTTGCTACTGCGTCGTCATCTGTCCCCTTCATACAACATGAAATGATATATCTGTGAAATGGGGAGAGTCATCCAGATCAGAGCGGTAGGAAGGAGGAGTTACACACTTTCCCACCAGCTTCTCTCTCCTTCCTTCTGTCACTAATGCTGCTTATTGCACTAGCAATTGAGGGGGCAAGTTTGGGTAAGAACATATTATAGGGGAACCTGCTTCCTGCAGATTGTCAGGTTCGGTCAGCACGGGGCTTCGGGGAAGCTCGCAGCCAGACCACGCGAACTCCACCGGCAGTAGCTAGCGAGGAAAAGAGGAACTGAAAGCGCCGCTAATTAACGGGCCACCTGCGCCCAGCCAAACAGGAAAACCGCAGCGGAAGCTTTAACTATAGACTGATAACGGTGCGAGCCAACAATGAACGGGGCCGCAGGCAGCGAAACAAGATCGCCATGCAGCACAGAACCCGCAGGCTTGCACGGAACGGGGAGGGACCAACCCAAGCTGGAGGGGACTGCCAATCAAGGACACGGGCCCCTGCCCGACCCTGCCATCATGGACAATCAGGGGGGATTATTGGGGGGCCGATAATCCGCAGCAGCA